TTTTTAAAAAAATTAAAGTAGTAAATTTTAAATAATAAAAATAATTAACAAAACCCACTAAAATAAAATAGGACCAAATTACAATATAATTAAAGTTTGAAATTAAAAACAATATAGAAAAATTGAGGACCAAAGTTTTACAAAAATATTATGAATAATAAAAAAAATAGTGATTTGTGAGCGTGTGAGTAGTGATATATGAGTGTGTGAATATGATGTTTTAAATAGTAAATATATAGTAAAACTATGTTTTATTTTAGTTTTATTGATAATTAGTCATTTTTTTCAAACTTGAGACGTGACAATCAATATGTTTGAGCATCATGAAAGCACGTCCCTATAAGAATTTGAGTTATTCTAATTAAGCGCAAAAAAATAGTTGTTTAGGGTTTTTTTTTTTTTCTCTTTCTTTATTATAGGAAGAAACGGCAATTATTTAGAAGCTTAGAAATTCAAATTTAATTGTATATACTAATACCTTTTTTGCTAGTATTACCGAAGAATAAATCACCCAGAGACATTGACAATTCAAGTTTTATGGCTCTCTTGTTATCTCCAGATCACATGAATACGGGAATTGATTATGACATGTAAATTGTCATCTACATATAAATTTTATAATACAAAAGAGTAGACTAGTAGCGTATACGGTAGTTATTCTATGAAGTCTACTTTGAGAAGAGAGATAAACACATAAAAAAATTTCATCTATACCCATCAAAAGCGATAAGAAGATTTCCACGTCTGCTCAAATTTTTTTTATTTTCTCTCTCTTTTTTGTATGTTTATCTCTCTCATCAAAGTGAGCCTATGAAATAACTACCGTACATGCCATTGAGTTACTACTGATGTATTATAAAATTTCTTGTCACCTACAAATCACATGCATCCACAGCTAGGACAGGGTAGATTGTCCCCACGCATGACAAAGACATATCTTGTTAATTTGTTGTTCTTTGAAATAACAAAAATCATATGAATTCATCTTATCCAAAGTATATTCCTATTTTTTCACTTTCGAATTTTAATTTCCATTAAAATAATTAGAGTATTACACAGTTTACTTAGAATTTTTATCGATTCACTCCTCCTTTCATTTTTCCCCTTTGAATACAAATTGCCCAATTCATCAAATCAATTATTTCATCGAAATCTCACTATATTTATTTCGTAAAACACTAAACATGAACAGTTGAAAGATTCAAAAAATTTAATTTTTAAATTCGATATAAAATTAGACATGGTACGATATTGATATAATTTTAGGTGGAAAATGATTTGAAAATATTTTATTATATATATATTGGATGAAGGCAAGTAATGGTATACACGTACTTTTCGGGATGATAGCGTTGACGGTATAATTTTCTTCTGTATTAACATCTTCTAGAGACGCCTGCATTTACTTCAAATTATGTCCACTTCAATATCCATCGATTTCAATACACTGAACCCACCCCGTTAATTAACTAACTTGGGACTCAAAAGGTTTCTGACCCATAATCTGTCCAACCATTTTGATATTTGATGCTTATACATAAAAAAATATCACACAATCATCTCTACCTATGTTAGGGCTAGTCATTTGTCAGTTTGACATTGAGCTTATAAATAGTTTATCTGAAAGCACAAGAGAATGCAGGAATTGTTGACCAAAACTTCGTCTTATTCAATTGGATGCATGTAAATATTCACATGAGAAGGATAATTCATGCTGGAATTCCGACAAATGAGAAAATGTTCATTTATATTTTTCTCACACGAAATCATGTGTGCTAAATTCAAGGCAAACTTATGCATGTTCTACACGTTCAACATGGAACCGCGTCCTTTTAATGTTTTTAGTTCTTGGTATCGGACTAGATTCAAGGCAGATCCTAAGACTCTTTCATATAAAAGTCGGCATCTACAGTACTGCCTCCCTTTTCTTCCAGGTAGCTTCAAGGGATGGGATGCTTTGTCATAGTTTAAGAAATTGGTACGATTGTATTGCGGGTTTTTTTTTTTTTTTTTAAATTTGTTTTGATTCTTAAAGATTTTGTAACAAAAGAAGGGAAAAAAAATGATTGTACGTATTTTTCCTCGTGTGGAGTTGAATTAAGCGACTTGACAATCAGTTTGCAAATCTTATCTGCAGTATGCCATCTGTCTAGTTATGGTAAGATGCAAGTTGCAAAACTAGTTAATTATTAACAATTATAGTCATTCTTGGCTAAGAATGTATATTTTTTTAAGCTTTATTGCAATCAAAGTATATATTTATATTATTAGTTCTGAAGTTAAGCAATAGATATACAAGAAAAGTATGATTGTAACTTTAGCAACTAGCAAGACCTAAGGAAAATTTACGTTTATTGATTAAAAAGTATGCTTACAAATTAGAACCCTTCCTCTAGATATAATGTTCATGTATTATTCAATGTTTGATGAGTATAGACATGAATTACAGTCACAAGATGATGTCAAAGTTTCAAGCAATCAACCTACTAATATATTAACCTATGAAATTATTGTTTATTTTGATTTCTGTCTATAAGATACTGCTTTACAAGTTTAATATATTCTAGAACTTGAGATAGTGTTTCAAGTGCTATTTGTTGTTTTCAAATGTTTGACTATTCTGTTGTGAGTTGTTAAAGAATAATATAAAATTATTCTTAGAATTTCATTTAATAAGTTAAATTTTTGAATTGATATACTTCTTTGACATGAGTGTTAATGTGCCGTATTGCACCTTGTATTTATAATTCTTAATGATTCTTTGTAATGCGTTATGTTTGATTTGTAATCGTTCATGCATATTACCTTACATTATCAATGTTGTCTTGCAACTACTCCGACATACTCCACCAATGCCAACTTCTTGCTATATATATATGTTCATGCTCCATTAGCTTCAATCACTTTTCTGCTACTCTTGGATAATACAATTTATTAGACTTACAAGCCTAGATTAAATTTTGATTGACCATGATTTTTACTTGAACCAATTTAACAAAATTGTCTTTGAAATCCCTAGTTCTAGCATTGCCAGTTTCTTTGACACCAAGTCCAGCATCTCAATAATTCAGATATGAACATCTTTGTGATTTTGATACAAAAGTAGTTATGTTACATAAATCATCGTAATAAAATCCAAATTGTAATACAAAGTTTCAACACCTTCTTCTTTCAAACCATTGCATGCTAAATTTTGTCTATGTTTCGTGCCCTACGTGGAAAGGGTAAATTGAAAAATACCCTTCCTAAACTTGAGCAAAAAAAAAAAACTCTTCTGAATAAAAAAATTTCTGATATTACTTCTTAAACAACATGATTTTTTTTAATGTATTTCTTCTGTTGGGGTTTCGTTGAGAATATGACAGAAAAAACTCATAAAAATACTCTCAATTTCTATCATTTTTTTCTATCAACTTAATAAATAAATGATTTTTAAGGCTTTTTTTAATTTCTCAAAAAAAAAAAAATCTAATAGAAGAAACAAATTCAAAATATCATATGTAATAATGAAGGGTTATTCTTATGAATATAGTTCAAGGCGCCACAAATCTCCAACCAACCAAAAGAGATGAGCATCAATATATTTACCTTATTTTTTTTATTTCTTATTACAAAAAATAAAAATAAATTAAAAATAGAAAAAAAACCCATAAAATTAGGTTTTAAACCTAAAGGGACTAATTAATTAATTTTTTGAAGCAGGAGGGACTAATTTATAATTTTACTCCCTCACAGGTTAACTCTCTGAAGATAGCCCCTAAACTAAGCTAAGAATCCATATATGGGTCAATAATGGAGTAAGCAATAAGGCTAGTCCATATGCAGTGGAAAGTTTGGAATTTATCTCCAAGCCCAAAATCAACCTTCCATGGGAATTTCCTCAGGAAGACTAACCCAAAATAAGACTGCAAGACTAATGGAAATGAAGAATTTTCAAGAGCATGTTAGCTTCAGAAATAGGATTCGAGGGCTGAGAATTGTCTGTGAGGCATTGGAAATAATAATAATAATAAAAATAAAAATAATTGAAAACTGTAAAACTGATATTGCAGATATTGAAGCATCCTTCATTTTTGGCAGAAAGGTATGAGTAATTGTTGCAGGCCCATTTGTAGGAAAGAAATATCATCATAAGTTTCTCAATTCCATCTTTGAAGAAATAAGTACTCAAAACATACACAAAAAGAATTGTCAAGCACCAGGGAGGGACTTATTATTATTATTATTTTTTTAAATTTCCAAAGTATCCAAATCTAATGAATTAAATTAATTTTTCACTATTCTATTAAACACGTAATACATACATAATTATCCAAGAAGTTTTTTTGTACGCTAGCACTTAAATCCGAAACCACTTTACTTAAAAGATTAGAAATTTTTCTACTTAAACCAACTTTTTAGGATAATACTTTATGATTATAATTTAGGGTAGTATTTATTTGTTTTGATTGGTGTGAAAAAATGTCAAGTATAAATGTATCTTCTTTGTCTTTATACAATATTTAGTTTTTCAACATCTCCTTCTCTCCTTATGTCAAGTTTTTCCATCCATATAATTATATTTTTCATTCAGAAAATTTCCTTTGATCTATACAATAATATAATTTTAATCCAATAGAAAGACTTAGTTACCGAAGAATTCTTAGAAAAGTTTGTCCTTCAGATAGCTTGAGCAGAAGAACTTCGTTATGGAAGGTTTTTTTTTTTTTAAAAAAGTTCGTTTTTCAGATAGCTTGAGCTAGCAAGAAGAATTTCCGTAACCTTTATATCTCTATAATTAACTTTCAGCTATAAAAAACTATCGTAATCACTAATCACTATTTGATTTTGTTAAACTCACCGATTATGATCATTGTGACTGTGCAAAGAAAAAGAGGGGAAAACAGAAAACACAGAAAGCATCGAATTATTCTTCTTTCTACAAAAGGATTTCTACATTTCTCTTTCACTTTGATCACTTCCAAATCTACAGTTTGTTGCTCTGCTCTCTCTTCCCACCTCTAAGCAGCAGATGGGGCAGTGACATATTGAACAGCACCGGCTTCAGAGAGAGCTGCAATGAATGGCTGCAAGTTCATCACTGGCTCAGCATCAGTACCATTCGCCACAAATTTCTTGTAATCCAGTGATTCATCGTTGTAAATGTCCCACCATTTCTTCACCAACATCTTTATGTCCTCTCTCTGCATGTTCTCTTCTTTGCCAGTGTATCTCCACGGCTTTGAGCCCTAAATGCAAATCAATCCAGTAAATCAGTAATCCAATTGTTGATCATTTTCATTTTCATTCCCAAAACCTAAATAGCAAACGATTCAAAGGAAAAGTGAAACACTCACCGCTGCACAGTAGTGAACAACTTTGACTTTGTCAAGCTCCACATTTTCTGGGTGACGCCATAGCATGGCAAGAACAAGATTGTAAACTAGAGGAATTGGCTTGTAAATATCCTTGAAGTACATGTTCAAGAAGTCCTGCTCTGCAAATGGGGTAGGAGGAGTGAGACTGAGAGTCTTCAAGAGATCATGGTAAGTAGAGATGCTAGGCTCGAACACAAACATGCCAGCGTTGAAGTAAAGAGATGGTGGTTGACCCATCTCAGCCGGCCACTTAACCCATCTCAGCGTGGCTCCATGTTTTCTCGCAGAAACAATCCATCACCGCATAGAAATGCCCATCAGGCAGATCAAACAAGTGGTCTATGTTGTCATAAACCTGGATATCTCAGTCCAAGTATATCATCTTGCTGTATTCCACAAACTGCAATTAAAATCAAACAGCATATTATTGACTTTAATATATGAAAATATTTAAGAGTACGATGACATAATAAGTAACACAACACAATCCTACATAGTTACGTACCTCCCAAATACGGAGCTTGGAGTAGTTGATGACATAATAAGCCATGGCAAACTGGGTCTGTTTCTCCGGCGGGTAAACGGGTTCAGTTTCCCGGATTATGTACCCCTGCGACTCCAAAATCCGCCTGTGTTCCTCTGGCACGTTAGGTAAAACTGCAACGATTAATGGGTATGCCGTTTTGACCTTCCTTAGCCCTTTGGCTAACCCAACAACACCTTTCACGTAATCTCCATTACCAGCCAAGAATGTTACATAAGCCCGGCTAGGCAAGCTAGCGGGTTTGGTAAACCCGGCTGGTTTCAAAGCAGCAGATTGCACAAGCTCCGGAGCCATTTTGCGGTGGCGTGAGAGGAGGTGAATGAGAGTGAGAGGATAAAGGCCTTGAAAGAGAACTTGATCAGAGAAAGCAAACGGAGAGGAAAGCTGGCTGTTTTTGGCTGGTGGCTTTGTGTTTAGGCTGTTTCTGAGGTGATGATTTTGGTGAGGAGATCAGGGGTTTAAATAAGGTAAATAAAAGGGATTTTACAGGAATTTTCTATCACATTCTTTCACTGTGATGTTGGATTGTATGCCGTACGCGTGTCCTTATGAGTTGATCCAACGCTGGAGTGGAGCCTCCCGGACGTTCTGGAAAGGGCCCTACATAAAATAGGGGTATGGAAGGCACTGGAAGGAACTATATTTGTAGAGAACCCATGCATACGCAAAACCTATGTGTGCATAGACATGTTAATTTCTACGTTGTCTCATTTTAATCATTGCCATTAATTAAAGTTCGTTCCTATTAATTCTTTTCATTGAGGATTTGCATGGCTGGCTATGACAAATTCGGGTACAAATTGATATTGAAGGTCGAAGTGGCTTTGAAACGATGTTAAAATAGAGAAACAGGAAACCTATCTAATTTGATCTAAATAATTTTGGGAAGCAAAAAGAGAGAAAAACGAAGGTTCTTTTTTATCTTTTTGGATTGTTATAATAAGGAATTAAGAATTTTTGGTATATAAAATTTTGGAGCTCTCTTTAATTGATTTTTAGGTGTTACAATAAGAGAAAATTGCATTGTTAGTTAAAATGGTGATTTGACACAATATTTGATTTTGCAAAAAAGAAAAAAAAACAATTTTTTTTTTTGGCAAACTGTATAAATTTATAATTCAAAAAAAAAAAAATTTGAGTGATTGAATTCTTTTTTTAATTATAGTGGATTATTTCAGAATTGATTTTGTAAAACTTTGCTCTACGATAGAGGATTTTTCACGTAAATTTGATATTTTAGTAATTGTGTTCTTATGATTGATTTATTTTATGATTTTGATTATTGTGTATATTTGATATGATTAATTTCAAAATTGGTTCTATAAGATTTGTTTTATTACCATAATTTATTTGATATGACTGAATTATATAAAGCCAAATCATAAGTCAAGACTAGTGATGTTTAGAAAAAAGAGTATAAAAAAGTTATTGGAGTTATTTGATAGTTGGTGAACGATAGTGTGTTTTACCACAAATCCAAAGAGATAGATATCCAAGAACTGAAAAAAAAACTAGAAAGTATGTATGAATGGAAGACTGCATGGAATAAAATTTATTTGATTAGAAAATTTGTGAATTTGAAATATGAAGAAGGAAAGTCTTTTGCTGAATTTTTAAGTGAGTTTCAAAATTTGATTAAGCAATTGATAATAGTGGTAGACAATGAGTTACAATTACTATTTCTACTAATGACTTTACTAGATAATTGTGAGATTCTGGTTGTGAAACTTAGTAATTTTGTTCTAAATGGTGTTTTGTTGAAGCTTTAGGTAACTTATAAACTTTGGATACCACCTCTCTCACCAAGAGGAGACTTTTAAGAAAAAATCCATCATAAGATCATAAGTCCATACGTGAGACAATACCTATTAAAAAACCAGTAACGTAATGGATTTATCGTTGATTATTATTATAATAAGTGTACAGATCATGTGGAATAAATACTAAAACATGAAATAAAATGATAATTAAAAAATAGTCTATCAAATAAAGTGACTGTTAACAAACGAAAAATGAATGCTACAAATAATTTAGAATCCTTTGTTTTTATATCTCGGCTAACTAATAGATACTAATGTTAATCTTGTTAATCTCTTAACCACCGCATCACTAATTGTTAAGGATGGCAATGGGACGAGGCGGGATAAGATGATGTCGGGACGAATTAGATTGTCAACTCTACTAACTGTAGGCTACGTGAGACTATCAATGTCAAAAAAAAAAAAAAAAAATATGCATTGAATAATTCTTTAATGCTATTATCCCATCGAAGATGGATTATTTTTAAAAGTATCCAAATATGAATAAAACTATTTTGACGTTTGAAATATGTGTTTTGCACTTCAATTATTTTAATCATATAGGACATGGTTGAGATAACGTTACTGTTTAGAAGAAAAAAATATTGTTTTCATAGATATAAGCTAGTTGCCCCTAAAATAAGCTCAGAGTCCACATGCCACATGGGCCAATAATTGAGTAAATAATAAGGCGAATCCATATGCAATGGAAAGTTTGGAATTTATATCCAAGCCCAAAATCAACCTTTAATGTGAATTTCCTATTCAGGAAGACCAACCCAAAATAAGACTGCAAGACTAACGGAAATGAAGAATTCTTAAGAGTGTGATAACATCAGAAATGGGATTTGATGGCTGAGAATTTTCTGTAAAGCATTGAAAAAAATAATAAAAGAATTTCTCCAATAAAAAGAATTGAGAAAAATAAAAATGATATTATAGATATCGTAGAGGCGGTCAATTTAATTTATCGTAATAGTACAATTTTCTCTCTCTTTTTTTTTTTTTTTTAACTCTACTAACTATTAATTATTAATGTTAATTTTCTGACCGTTTAAACACTGATTGTGTGCCGTAGAGTCCTATAAAAAAACCAAATTAAAAAAATTAAAAACAGTAAAACTGATATTGCAGGTATTGAATTATCCTTCATTTTCTGTTGGTGTAAGTTTTTAGCACATACGTATGAGTAGTTTTTGCAGGCCCATTTATAGGAAAGAAGTTATATGCATCTCTACGCTTCGTATCTAGCACAAAGATATGAGTAATTTTTGCTGGCCCATTTATAGGAAAGAGAGTCTTATCGCTTATTGTCCATTTAAAAATATTTTTTAACTACATTCAAAAAGAAATTAATTTTAAAATATGTGAAAACTGAATCAGAGACACTCTTCTCATTGAAAAAAAAAAAAAAAAAAATCATGTCCATGGCTACACTTCATGAGAATTTTAAATTCTCAAAATGTTACTTGATATGAAAACCTTTTGGTACAAGGAATATAACAGCATGTTATGGGTTTTTTTTTTTTTTTCCTTTCAAAAAGAAAAGGTGCGTTTTCATGCCTTTAACAAATTGGTGCTCAAACTTTTGTTTTCTTTCACTTTGACCATTAACTATTTTAGTGTTATAATCTAGTCCATAATTACAACACAGATATGGAAATGAAATAAATTAAAGTTAAATATATAATTATTTATTACCTTAAAATTAAAGATCTAGATATCATTGATCTTTAACCATTTTAGTTTTATAATCTAGTCCATAATTAGAACACTAAATATGGAAATGAAATAAATCAAAATTAAATATATAATTTTTTCATCTTAAAATTAAAGATCTTGATATCATGCTAATCACTAAATAAAAGTTTTCCCATTTATCAAAAAAAAAAAAAAAAAAAAACAACACTTTTTCCTACTTGAATAAAGAATCTTAATAATTATATAAAAATTGCAATTAAACTATTCAAGTCACAAAATCACGTGATCTGGGTCCGGGTCAAGTAGAAAAAGAGATGCAACTTTTTTTTTTTTTTTTTGGTAAAAGGCCGGGATTTAACAGCTGCATGCATGGTACAAAGCATAGAGTCATAATGTTCATGTGGTGCAAAACACGGTACTATATATATATATTGGTTTTTTTTCCCTAACGAGAGAACCAAGAAAAACGGGAAGAAAAAATATATATATGTGTGTGTGTGTTTAATAACGTTGAAGTGTTAATATATTTTTTGTTTTTTTAGGCATAGCAACATGTTATTTGGTGTCAACTATGATAGATATATGATGGATTAATGACATTTTGATTGCTTGAATAACATGGATAAGTTTTTTATTTTTATTTGCATGATTTATTAATTTTTCCAACTTGAATATTTTGATAGATTATTTGAGCTTTTTTTTTTTTTGAAATGCCAAGATTTGGAAGTTGGATTTTGAAAGTTAATGTTTGTATTTGTATTATGGTTTAAGGATGTTTAATGGATTGTATTTAAAATTTTAATTATGGATGATTTTATATGGATTGTGTGGATTGCATTTTAATTATGGATGTTGGTTTATGGATTGTATTTAATTATGAATAATGTTTGGATATTGGTTTATGGATTGTATTTTAATAATGGATGATGTTTTATTTTGATTATTTGATATTAAATTTTAAATTCAAGTCCATAATTAAATTGATATTTGGATGTTCGGATGAGGTTTTATTTTGGTTATTTGATTTAATAATGTATATTAATAATGTTTGGATAATTGGATGTTTTGATTATTTGATATTATATTTTTATTTGTTTTGGATGTTTAATGTTTTGTTGCATTTTAAATTGCTGGAAATGGCCACTTCTTCGTGCTTTCTAGTTCCATATATATTAAAAATGCCAAAGTTTTCCAGGATGGTTCCAAGAAAAAAAGGGTTTTAACCAAAAAAGCAAATTGAAAAATTTTGGTTTTTTAATCAAAAAACCAAACTTTAATTCGGTTCAGTTTTGGTTTTTATTTTTGCATATTCGATTAACCGGAAAAAAAAAACACCGAAACCGAATAAAAAAATTAAATGTTCACCCTATATATATATATATATATATATATATATATATATATAATAACATGATAAGCAGTGGTGGTTTGCTCTTTTTGCAGCCATGATGAGCACTGGTGGTTTGCTCCTTTCACATAGGGTTTGAGGTGTTGTTTCCAGAGAAGGTAGAGAGTAGAGGATGATTAAAAAAGAAATAAAAAAAACCTAAGGTGGGTGCTATCAAATTTTTCTTTTTTCTGTCGAGAAAATCAACGCGGTTTGAAGGGATTGAAATGCAGTAAGAGCAAACCTAGACAATTCAAACGAGAGAAATAATTTCCTACTTACGTAATCCATATCAATAGAACACTAATGTACATGATCTAGCAATAAAAGAATTAAATTAATTTGATCAAATATAAGATTTAATTTTTACTATTCATTTATAATTATTTTTTAGGGGTATCAGGTTTGGATTTACTTAGTTTAAAAGAAAATCCAATAATCGATGATCTTGAAAATACTCCACTATCTATAAATATATATATATATATATATATATATAAATTCATAACAATGGCGCACTAATTTAAGTAATTAAGAGATAAAATTTATGAAACCATGATTAAATCATTTCATGATCCATGTACAAGAAACACCATTTCTCATCTTGAAGACATTAACTAGGTTTAATTTTAACTGACAATTATACTAAACTACCAATGCATTTTAACTTTCACAAGGCAATTATACAATTGAGATGTTCTTTGAAAAAGATTAAATATGTGATCGAATGCTATGATCTGAGTTATAAAATATTATAAATTATATTTTGAGATCTTATTTAATAATTTAAGTTTTTAGATTGAAAAGATTTTTTAATATTCCATCCTAAAGGTTTTTACTTGAAAAAATATGTCAAAAAATAATATAAATTATATATTGAGAGTTCATTTAATAATTCAAGTTTTTAGATTGAAATGATGTGTTTTTAATACTTATTTATGCCTGATTTTTTTTTTTTTGGGTGAATGTTTTTAACACAAAGGTATGAGTAATCTTTGCAAGTCCATTTATAGGAAAGAAAGTCATAGAACTTATTGTTCGCGGGAGATTATCCTTTAACTACCTTCAAAAACGAATTAATTTCAAAATGTGTAAAAATTGGTTTGAAGACATTTTTATTATTGAAAAAAAAAGTCATATCCATGTCTACACTTCATGAGATTTTAAATTCTCAAAATGTTACTTGATATGAAAACCTTGTGGTATAAGCAATATAAGAGCATATTCTGGGTTTTCTTCTTCTTCTTCTTCTTCTTCTTCCTTTTTTTTTTTTTTTTTTTTTCAACAAAAAGAAAAGGTGCCTTTTCATTCCTTTAACAAATTGGTGCTCAAGCTTTTTTTTTCCTTTCACTTTGACCATTAACTATTTTAGTGTTATAATCTAGTCCATAATTACAACAACATATATGGAAATGAAATAAATTAAAGTTAAATATATAATTCTTTATTATCTTAAAATTAAAGATCTTGATATCATTGATCTTTAACTATTTTAGTTTTATAATCTAGTCCATAATTAGAACACTAAATATGGAAATGAAATAAATCAAAGTTAAATATATAATTTTCTCATCTTAAAATTAAAGATCTTGATATCATGCTAATCACTAAATAAAAGTTTTTCCATTTATCTAAAAAAAAAAAAAATTCCTACTTGAATAAAGAATCTTACGTGCTTGTTTTGTAATTAGGAATAGAATGATGGGAATGAAAATAAAAGTTTTATTCCTACATTGTAGTTGTTTGGTTAAAATGAATGGAGTGAGAATGGGAATGAAGAGTGTGAATGAGAATGAAAATTTACATTCAATATCATTCTCATATAAGCCGTGAGAATAAAAACAAGGAATGAAAATGAATTTTTTTCTTCAAAATAATAATATATTTTATTTATTTATTGTCTATTAACTACTTTTACCATCACCATTATCACCATCATAACCACCATCACTACCATTGCAACCACCATCATAACAACCACTATTACTATCACAACCACTTGTCATAGCCATCATCACCACTATCATCTTTGTTATTTTTACAACCATTATAGTTTGATAAAATTATTTTTTTAATCATTATTTTTATTTGTATAAAAAATCAGATATTAAAAAATTTAAGTTACATTCTGATTTCTTATTAGTATTTCAAATACAACATGACAATATAAATGATATTTCAATTTCTTAATTTTCATTACGATTCCTTCCTTCCCATTTTCATCACTATATTCTTAATTATCAAATAACATCTTAATAATTATATAAAAATTGCAATTAAACTATTCAAGTCACAAAATCACGTGATCTGGGGCCGGGTCAAGTAGAAAAAGGGACGAAACTTTTGGTTTTTTTTTTTTTTTTTTGATAAATGAAAAAGGCCGGGATATAACAGCTGCATGTATGGTACAAAGCATAGAGTCATAATGTTGATGTGGTGCAAAGCATGGTCCTATATATATTCTCTTCCTGTTTTTCTTGATTCTCTCGTTAGGAAAAAAATATATATTTTCTTCCAGTTTTTCTTGGTTCTCTCGTTATAACACGCGATGTGCAGTGGTGGTTTGCTGTTTTTGCAGCCATGATATGATGTGTAGTGGTGCTTTGCTCTTTTTGCAGCCATGATGAGCAGTGGTGGTTTGCTCCTTTCGCATAGGATGCGAGGTGTTGTTTCCAGAGAAGGTACAGAGTGGAGGTTGACCAAAAAATAAATAAAAAAACCTAAGGTGGGTGCTATTAAATTTTTTCTTTTTTCTGTCGAGAAAATCAAGGGGGTTTAAGGGATTGAAATAGCACTAAGAGCACCTTAGACGATTCAAATGAGAGAAACAATTTCCTTCTTGCATAATTCATTACAATGGACAATCAAGAATGTGTTCCAGCGATAAAAGGATTATATTGATTTAGTCATATCCAGCATTTAATTTTCATTGCAAATAAATAATTAATCATAATTATTTTTCCTTTGATATCAAGTTTGAATTCATTTGGGGTAAAAAAAGTTTAATGACTGATAAGAAATTTAACCTATTATGCTAATAGTTTATTTTTAAAAAATAGTAAATTTAATTTCAATTGATGTAAAAAAAATATTCTACTATCTAAAAATAAATAAACAGATTCAAAACAATGGCTCACTAATTTATCTACAAATAAATAAATAAATTCATAGCAACGGCTCACTAATTTAAGTAATCAAGAGATAAAATTTATGAAACCATGATTAAATCCTTTCATGATCGATGTGCAAGAAACACCATTTCCCAATCTTGAAGACATTAATCAGGTTTAATTTTAACTTACAATTATATTGAACTAACAATGCATTTTAACTTTCATTAGACAATTATGCGATTTAGTTGTTTTTTTTTATCAAAATTAAACATCTGATCAAATATTATGATTGATATTACAGAATAATATAAATTATATTTTGAGATTTATTTAATAGTTTAAGTTTTTAGATTGAAATAATTTTTAATATTTAAGCTTAAAGATTTTCACTTGAAAAAATTTATTAGAAAATAATATAAATCATATATCTTAATAATTTAAATTTTTAGATTAAAATTATTTTTTGCAAACTGATTTTTATACATGCCTTTCGATGCTTATTTGTGCACCTTTATTTATTTACTTTTTTTTTTAAAAAAAAAACTTTTGCTCTGCCCGTGATGTGCACCAGGACCCGCAGGCTTTGAGTGCATTCCAGAATTTGCCAGAAAAGATACAACGTGCTTTGTGATTTGCTCTGTTTGAAGAAGGGGTGAGGTACTGAGGTGGTGTCCATTTTCAAGATGTGGCTAACAAAATGGCCACCCGTCGAAATTTTTCTGATTCGTCTCTTTTCTTTCCTTTTCTTTTGGGTTCCCAGAGCCCCACAACTCTAATAATTCAATGCTTGACCCTGGACAGTCTCGGTCTTCGTCTACGACCCCATTCATCCTTCCTATAAATTTGTAGCGATTCTACCACGACAAGCATCCCATTTTGATCCAACATTCTTGCCCTTATTAATCTTCCTATAGCAACCTTTGTTATACTCCAAGAATCAAACATGGCAACACTCAATGCTTCCTTTGAGTTCACTGTGCAAAGGTGCGAACCTGAACTAGTTGCACCAGCTAAGCCAACACCTCGTGAAATCAAACAACTTTCTGACATCGATCATCAAATATCCCTTCAGTATCATGCACCTTTCGTACAAATTTTTGCCCACAGTCCCTCCATGCAAGGGGCAGACCCAGCCAAGGTAATAAGAGAAGCACTTGCGCAGGCATTAGTGTTTTATTACCCTTTTGCTGGAAGGATGAGAGAAGGGCCAGACAAGAAGCTTATAGTTGATTGTACAGGGGAGGGTGTGTTGTTCATTGAAGCTGAAGCTGATGTTACACTAGAGCAATTTGGTGACCCAATTAAGCCTCCGATCCCATGCTTCGATGAGTTGCTTCACAATGTGCCCGGCTCAGATGGGATGCTCAATAGCCCATTGTTGCTTTTTCAGGTATAGCTAGCTAGATATATTATATTTTGTGGTAATCCATCAAATGAAGTAAATTATTGGAACATTAGAGGCATTTATTTTGGGTAAAATACATTATAATTTTTTTTTGTTTGATGTTTTTGTCTTTTTATATTTTATATCAAAATTGGTTAATGTAAAACTTAAATTTAGTTTATTTGTTAGAAAATATTTTAAACTACGGAAGTTACATGAAATATTTTACAAAATAATCATCTTGGAACATCATTTAATTATATCTCTATGTTACGCTTGTCATTGCAATCATCATTACCATCAACTTTATTTATGTCATTAGACAATAATTACCATTAGCATCCTTAAAACCACTACCACGACACCATCATCGTTCCACTTTTATTTTATATTTTGTTTATGTTATTATTTATCAAATATCATAAAATTAATTTAGTTTATTTGTTAGAAAATTTTTTAAACTTTTGAAGTTAAAATATTTTACAAAATAATCAACTTGTAATATCATTTAATTATTTCAACCAGGTCTTGTCTGTCATGTTTGTCATCACAATCACCATCAATTTTATTTATGTCGCTATACAATATTTACTATCAGCATCCTTAAAACCAAAACAACTGACATCATTATCATTCCACTTCTATCAAATCTTTCATGTTATTATTTATCAAATATCTTAAGATTTGTTTTTATGTAAAATGTTTTATTAAAATACATCATGTAAAATATCTTTACGCAAAACAAATACCTTCGAAAAAAGAAATAATTAATTAACTAGCTTCTATTTTCACACTAAATTAAATAATTAAGTTCTAATTTCGTTAATTTTGTTTTTTTTTTTTTTAAGAAAATCATGTGATTTTATAATTGTATATCTTAACAGGTTACACGCTTGAAATGTGGAGGTTTTATAGTTGCCAACCGGTTTAACCATGCGATATGTGATGGTATTGGCATAGTAAATTTTTTGATCTGCGTAGGAGAGATGGCAAGAGGTGCTAATGCTCCTTCAATTCTTCCCGTATGGCAAAGGGAAGTCCTCAATGCTAGGGATCCTCCCTGTATTACATACACACACAAAGAATATGTTGTTGTTGATGAAGATCATGTTCCTGATGCTAAAGGCAAAGCCCTTGAATCTGAAAGCTTGGTCCACCGTTCTTTCTATCTTGGCGCTGAAGAATTATCTAACGTTGGAAGATTGTTTCCTTCTCATTTGCAACCATCTACAAAATTCGAAATGCTAACTGCTTGCATCTGGAAATGCTATGCCATAGCATCAGAGTCACCAAACCCTAATGAGGAGTTGTTCTTCCAAGTTACTGTCAATGCAAGAACCAAATTTAACCCACCAATTCCAAAAGGGTATTATGGAAATGTGGTGGCAATGCCAGTATCTACAACAACTGTTGGTAATCTTTGTTCAAACTCACTAGGTTATGCATTGGAGTTGGTAAGGAAGGCCAAGTTTGAAGTAAATGAGGAGTACATGAAATCGTTGGCTGATCTAATAGCGATCAAGCGTGGTCAGCTTAAAAGCGTGCAGCCTTATGAGTTGACGGACCTAAGACATATTGGCTATGATCAAGTGGATTATGGGTGGGGTGAGGCTGTGTATAGTGGGACGCCAAATGCTTGGCCTTACGATAACATCCTTGGTGCAGCAACCTATTATGTGCCCTTTAAAACTAAGAAGGGGAGGCTGGTGTTATGATGTTAGTTTCCTTAATTGCCCCAATTATGCAAAGATTTGCACCCTTATTTGAGAAAATGTTGAAATGATCCTGAAGGCATTCCAGGACAGTCCAAAATTATTGACCAGACAACCTGTTATTCGGTCTATATATGTTGTTTTTTATGTTGTTTTAGGTGTTCATGATGCTGTTTTTGTGTCGGGTTTTGCACAAGATCATGTGTTTTTGGATTGTTAATAGCGAGTTTTTCGCTGTTACTTTGTTCCTGTCTTTGTTTGAGTGTTTTTAAGATAATATTAATAAAGGTTTCAGTTTATAAAAAATTTCAGTATTATTAACGAATTGTAACTCGATTGTGTTAGACTAGGAAAGAAATTTCATTATCTACAATGATCTTTTCAAGTTTAATTACGAGATATTGGGATGGTATGTAATGTATGACCGAATAACTTGAATTTGTGGAGAAAATAATAACGGGAGTTTTGTTTTTTGTTTTTTTTGTTTTTTTTTAAGTTGTTTAGTGTGAATTTTATAATGAGCACATTAGCCAGGACAAAAACCTGCAAAGTTGACACGATCCACACTAAAAACTACATATATGATGTCAGCTAGTCTTAAAAATTGAAGGAAAGAGTGAGAAACAGAAAAAGAAAAAAGAAAATGAAGAAGTTATCACCTTCGAAAAGGAAGAAAATAATGTTATGAAAAAGTTTTTTTTTAAAAAAAATTTTTTTTTACTCATGAATAATATAAATTATACCATGAGACTTCATCTAACAATTTAAGCTTTTTAAGTAATAAGATTCTTTGATAAGATATTAGAATCTTATTAATCTAAGTGTCAAGATTTAATCATTTACTACATATTTATTATATTTTGATTTTTAAACAATAGGAAATATTTTTGAATCAATTAATAATTTTTTTTGAAAAATTTTATAAAGTTTTTCATCAAATTGACATATATATTTTGACCTGAAGATTTGAATTTAATAAATAAAAAAAGAAAGCACGTTCGTTTTTTACCACTGACTCTTACTTGCTATCTTTGTACAAGAGTTATAGTTTGATACACTATAGATACTTACACTTTTTACTAAGATTTGTTCGCTAAATGATGTGTCTCTTTATGATTGGTGAACTATCAATTATTCATTTTTGTTATTATAACACCCTACTAAATGTGATAAAATCAATATTTCATAAATTTTTAATTTTTTGTACAATATTTTCCATGTAATAATTTTAATAAAAGCTAAAATATCTCTAACATTATTCTTGAATGAATAATTTTTTATATTTCTTTGGGATTATTGATATAATCGATTCGACTAAATTTATTAAAATTTTGAATAATGTTAAGAAATGAAAAATTGATGATGAAAATTTATAAGAAAATTGAGTTATTTTTTTAAAATTAATAAAAAGGATATTACCTAATCATAAGACATTTGAAGCCAACATAAAAGACTCGATAATCAATTGTTGAGAGTGGTTTTAAGAATTTCATTCTCTTGGGAGATTCGGCGTTTGCAACCGTACGTTCGCCCGACTATTGCCTCATCAAACGACATCTCGGTTGCTTTTCCTCGAGAGAATGACATGTCGCCTGTCTTCTCGATCTCGCCCATCTTGGTTTTAGTTTTTGGTCATTGCGGTTGTGGGCTCGTTTCCTTGTCCCTTTAGGTACATTTCTTGCCTTTTCTTATGTTCTCTTTTCGGCTACATACCTTCTCTTATGGTTTATTAGGCTTAGCTTACTAGTTGTATCCTTGATAGTTTCTTTTGGTAAAAATAAGTTCCAATGCTATATGTTCTTGATTATAATTGATGAGGTCATAGATCTCTTTTGATGATATGTGTGATGTGGTGGTTTTTTTCTTTTTCTTTTTTACTTAATTAGTGCGGTTGTAAAGCTTAACAATAGATGGAAACAAAAAAGAAAGTTTTTTTCGGTTGGGAAACTTTTTAATAATTAAGTCGGTAATGACGACAATGAAGCAAAGTATTTTAAAAAAAGAAGAGAAATAGTAAAGGCTAATAACGAGATTCAAAACCTAAAATTTTAAACTCATTAGCTATTTATATCGCCAAGGGGTTCATCAAATTACATGAAAAAGAGAGTAGAATAGTCTATCCATTTATTACCAATAGCTTCTAACACCTATTTAGGAGACGAATATCCTTGGTGTTGACATATCACTATGGAAAGAATATGGCAACATCATATTCAACATTAGCCATACCGAAATGATTTTGGTAGCACATTTACATTAATTTAATAGACATGTTATATGTCCCTTTTATTTGATGGGGCTGAGTTCGTTTGTCGAGGCTTGCTATCCGAGTTGAAGCTATTTGGTACACTCATAGAAGTAATTTAGCAAGGTCCGTCTTTTTGCTCATGTCCTAGGTGGATTTTTCATCTTTTTAAACACTCATCCGGATGGAGGTCTCTTGACTCCGTAGAAGTTATATGATGAAACATATCATTCAAATATTTAATAATTATGTAACAAAAGGAAAATTTCCTATTATATAGTTCAATATCCTTTACCAATTTAAGTCTTCATGATAGGTTCATATCATGGTGTGTGCATACCACTTATGAGCTAATTTCTTACTAGTATAAAATTACCAAACACGTCTTATGTTTTACATATATATATTCGACACATAATTTTCAACCAATAAAAAAATCGTTATCTTTATGATGTGTATGATCTTGATGTGCTCTCATAGTTTGTATTTGTTCTTGGTTGATCATTGTAAGATAATTAAATATGCCAAAGCATATAAGTGTAGCAGAAATTAATATGATACATACCTCTTATCATGATTGATTAAGTGCTCAAGATATTGGTGAAGAAAAACTAGAGTTGTCAAGAAGAGAGAGAGTCTTCTAGTCTATGTCAATACTTTAGGATTTTGTGTGTTGATGAAAAATACGAGCTTTAATTAATATTTATATGGTTAGTCTAGGGATCCTTTTTTTAACCTAATTTTGTACTTCCGTCCATCATGGATGTGCATGACCCACCACTAGATTCCATCGAGCTCTAAGTTTTTAAATTATCTCTTATAAATTTAAAATAAAATATGACACATTGGCCACACTATAAGAATGTTTCTTACAATTATAGCTCTATTCCATTTGGGTTAATGAGTTACGTATTAATGAATTAGAGCTTCTATAGTAGTTATAATAATTTTTAGTTGTTATAATAATTGCTTTCATGATAATTAGTCGAAGGGTTAGTAGTTATTATAAGTAAAGTTGATATGGTGTTAATTAGATCGATCGGTGAGTTAGTTGATTAGTTAGAATGAAAGAGGACAAAATAGGGTTATTGATTCATTCGATCAATTAAAAACAAGAACTCAAATAAGAATTCTCTTCTCCAATCCTTTTTTTCCTTAATTTTTCTTCAAGATCTTTTTTGTTAAGGAAATCCTTCACAAATTGGTACGAAAGAAATTCGAGGCCAATCATGGTGGATAATAGTAGAATCGGAACTCTAGAAGAGCATAATAGAAGGCAAGAAGAGTAGACATAAGGCATGCACCAAGAATTTTAAGAAAGTGTTGAAGCCATTAAAAAGCAAAAGCAAAATCAAAGTTAATAGACACAACTTCAAATGGAAGCTCTAATGAAGATGATGTAGGCATTAATGGTAAAAAAAGCTCGAGAAAGAACAACAAACATCTTCTAACTCCTTGTATGGTGGAAATATAGCTTCAAAATCCATCAAGCTAATCATAGTGAGTTCTTATTAACTCTTGAATTTGTGAAGTTTGGCTATAATTTTTCGATTGACATAGTATATTTATAATTGTTTAAGGAAGAAAATCTCGGGGGTTGGATTCATAAATGCAAGAAGTATTTTAAGATGAATTTCATTCTTGTTCATAAGTGGGTGAAAATTGTTTTTATGTATTTAGAAGGAAGAGTTGAAATTTGGTTTGAAAGTTTTGTGGTAAGAAGTGATTTAAGTAACTATGAGGAATTTATAGGGGAGATATGTAGAAGATTTGGTATTAGGGAATAAGATGTAATGGAAGAGTTTAATAAGCTCAACCAAGAAAAAGAAGTGGAACGAGTATGTAGAGAAGTTTAAAGAGCTTAAGTCTTTAATCATTGCAAATAATTCCCATATGCTTAAATCCTACTCTTTTTTTCTAGCTTCATTAGTGGCTCAAAGAGGATATCAAATCTATACTAAAGATTTTGAAATCCTCAACCCTAATACATGCATTTAACCAAGCTAGGTAGCAAGAAGAGTCTATGAATACATGGAAAAGAGACCAAAAAATCCCTAAAAAACCTTCTTATCTTATAACAACACTAGAACATACCTAAGTCAGTATCTTTCCTACAATACTAACAAATCATATGCTAAACAATTCCACAAGCCCAACATTAATTTTACTAAACATGAAATTACTAGCCAATTTAAACCTATAAATCCTAGCTCATAAAAATACAACCAAAGACTTTACAAGACCAAAGGAGGAGAATAATGCTTTGTTTTAGATATGGGAATAAATACGTTGTTAGACATCAATGTACTAAATAGGCATTGAATGTGATAAAAGGAATTGAAGGGGATGACGATGAATTTATGGATGTAGAAAAAAGGAATGATGAGGTAGTATAGTAGATGAAAAGAATTATGAGAAAATTATCTCTACATGCCCTAATAGAAAAGTATGCAAACAATACTATTAAAATTAAGGGATGTTGCAAACAAAATAAAATTATCATCCTAAATGATATTGTGAGCACACATAGCTTCATCATTCTTAAGGTGGTTAAAGAAGTTGACAATGTGATCGAGGAAACTACTACATTTTCACGTGACGGTAGCTAATGGTACAAGTATGAAGTGTTCTATTAAAAGTTTAGGGTTGGTTTGGTTTATACAAGGGCATGAATTCAAAGTCGACCTAAGGGTATTGGAACTAGAAGGTTATGACATAGTGTTGAGAGTTGATTAGCTATGAATGTATTCTTTAGTAT